GAGCTAGGTTATCACTATGCCGCTCTGGCTGACCTGAAACTCCCTGTGTAGATCAAGCTGGCCTCAAACTCATAGAGATCCACGTGCTTCTGCCTCCAAGTGCTGGGATTAAAGGTGCGCACCACCCCGTCTGTACACGGAGATCCTGCGCTTCCCTCATTCTCTCTTAACCACATTGCTATTCTGATTTACAGAAAGATGTAGACAAGGAGTTCTACCTGTTCCCCACAGTTTTTGACGAGAATGAGAGTTTACTCTTGGATGATAACATCAGAATGTTTACAACAGCCCCTGATGGTGTAGATAAAGAAGATGAAGACTTCCAGGAGTCTAATAAGATGCACTGTGAGTACCGCATCTCCTCCAGTCTGTCCAAGTTGCCTCAGTGGTGCACATGTACTGGCTTCAATTAACCCAAAATATGAACAGATTTTTTTCGTTTCTTTTCAATAAATAAGTAAATACAGTAGTGCTATAAAGCTAATAACATTGGTAACTTAATGTGTCATTAATAGACATGCCAAAATGATGAATGTGTCTCTTTAATTTTTTGTTATTTTCATTTTTATGTGTATGAATGTTTTTCCTGCATGCATGTAAATGTACCACATGTGTGCAGTGTCCATGGAGGCCAGAAGAGGGTTGTTAGCCACCAACGTGCTGGGAACCAGACCCAGGTCCTCTGCAAAAGCAGCAACTACTCATAACCACTGAGCCATCTCTCCAGACCCATGAATATGTTTTAAATGTTTCTTCTCCTCCCCTCCTCTCTTGTCCCCCCCTTCCTTCCTTCCTTCCTCCCTCCCTCCGTCCCTCCCTCCCTCCCTCCCTTCCTTCCTTCCTTCCTTCCTTAGTATGTGTGGGGAGTCAGCTCCTATGTGTGTGTGTGGTGTGTGTGGTGTGGTGTGTGTGTGTTTGAGTGTGTGTATGTGTGTGTGGTGTGGGGGGGAGTCAGCTCCTGTGTGTGTGTGTGTGTGGTGTGGTGTGTGTGTGTGTGTGGTGTGGTGTGTGTGTGGTGTGGTGTGTGTGGTGTGTGTATGTGTGTGGTGTGTGTGTGGTGTGGTGTGGTATGGTGTGTGTGTGGTGTGGTGTGGTATGTGTGGTGTGTGTGTGTGTGCGGTGTGGTGTGTGTGGTGTGGTGTGTGGTGTGTGTGTGTGCAGTGTGGTGTGGTGTGGTGTGTATGGTGTGGTGTGTGGTGTGTGTGTGCAGTGTGGTGTGGTGTGTGTGTGTGTGTGTGCAGTGCAGTGTGGTGTGGTGTGTGTGGTGTGTGTGTGTGCGGTGTGGTGTGGCGTGGTATGTGTGGTGTGGTGTGTGTGGTGTGTGTGTGTGTGCGGTGTGGTGTGGTGTGTGTGGTGTGGTGTGGTGTGGTGTGTGTGGTGTGGTGTGTGGGGGGGGTGGTATGGTGTGTGTGTGGTGTGGTGTGTGTGGTGTATGTGTGTGTGGCGTGATGTGGTCTGTGTGTGTGGTGTGGTGTGTGTGTGGTGTGTGTGGTGTGTGTATGTGTGTGGTGTGGTATGTGGTGTGTGTGTGTGTGGTGTGGTGTAGTGTGTGTGGTGTGTGTGTGTGCAGTGTGGTGTGGGGTGGTGTGTGTGTGTGTGTGCGGTGTGGTGTGGTGTGTGTGTGTGTGTGGTGTGTGTATGTGTGTGGTGTGGTATGTGGTGTGTGTGTGTGTGTGGTGTGGTGTAGTGTGTGTGGTGTGTGTGTGTGTGCAGTGTGGTGTGGGGTGGTGTGTGTGTGTGTGTGCAGTGTGGTGTGGTGTGTGTGTGTGTGCGGTGTGGTGTGGTGTGGTGTGTGTGTGCATGTGTGCCCCGGTGCCTGTGGAGGTCAGAGCACTGCTTTCAACACTCCCATCCTTCTCAGCATTTGGGTTTTGGGGGTTGGCAGGCTTGGCAGCAAATGCTTTTACCAGCTGAGTCATCTTGCTGGTCCTTGAATGTGCCTTTAAAGTGTGCTCCCTAGATCGGCAGCCTCAGTGTTGACCAGGAACTTGTTCGAATGCTAATTCTTAGATCCAACTCTCATTTACAGAATTAGAAAATTTGGGGATTAAGTTCCAGGATCTGTGTTTAACAGACCCTCTAAGTGGTTCTGATGGTGTGCTCAAATTTGAGAACTAATGGGTTGATTATTTTCTCATCTGTGGCTCAGTAATGACAGGTTCCTTTTATTATTCAATAATACAAAAATATGAACTCTGCCCTCATGATCCCTACGCTCCCCTGCTCATCAGAATCAACTGAGAACCTTTTAAAAGCCCCAAGACCTAGGGAAACCCTCAGAGATTTTACTTAAGTGAAGCCCGGCATCAGATTTATTCTTTTCAATCTAAGTTGGTTCTAAAATGTGATTAGGGTTTAGAGATGGTGGGCTAATTGTTCAAAAGACTCACATTACTAAAAGAAAACAGTGAAAACTCACTGTAGCTAAAAGAACGGAAAGTTGCGTTACAAACTGATGCTTTTTGTTATTAATTTGTTGCTATTGATTTTAAGTTGGACTGATTTTGGTTACACCTACCCACTATCCTTACAATATGACTTAAATTCTACATTTTTGCATTTTGACCTGTCAAGAATAGCATCCTTCGGAAACAGCACCGAGAGAAATTTTCCTGCACAAACTTTTCTCTGTTAGTCAAGATGAGTTGGGGAGTTTTTCACATAAAACAACAAACATGCCTAGCGTATGCTACCCAGGGCAAGCAGCTGTTATTCACAGGTGTAGTTCCTCACAAACGTGGTCATTGAAAGAACTGAGAATCTGACGATATCTGAAATCCTCAGGGTGCTGAGATGTCAACGTAGGATTTCATGCTCCGTATTCAGACCTGCTCCCTTCAGTCAAGGATTGCTCTGGAAGTGCTGCAAAGGCAGTTCTGACACACCAAGAATGGGCAGCTTGAATATGTCGTTACATTTTTAAAGTTGGTTTTAGGAAGTTGAGGGTTTCATTCAATAGACTATAAGTCACTTAAAATTTTTTCTCCCACTTTTATAGCCATGAATGGATTCATGTATGGCAATCAGCCCGGTCTCAATATGTGCCTGGGCGATTCAGTCGTGTGGTATTTGTTCAGTGCTGGAAACGAGGCGGATATACATGGGATATACTTTTCAGGAAACACATATCTGTCAAAAGGAGAAAGAAGAGACACGGCAAACCTCTTCCCTCACACAAGTCTGACACTTCTCATGAAGCCTGACACAGAAGGTACATTTCTATACAGAAAGAGAAGTCTCTGTTGGTCAATTTACGTGGTTTTAGCTGAAAATCCTACAGAAGAACATACGGGATGAGAAGCTCTTTCAAAGTCTCCCTAATAGAGTAACCTGGAGCCACTATCAGATGACGTGTACACTGGACAGGCCCATATCCTATTTACTGGGGAAAGTATAGGGGGTAAGAGTAAGAACTCCAGGGTCTGTGGCTTCTTCCGTTTCACATAGCAGAATCCCCACGATGATCCCTTTGCAGTTATGGTCCTTTTAAATAAAAGCAGAGAAGACAGTGACTCCCACAGGAGCTCTGTGTGCAAGCTTCTCATCATGCCTCTGTGGCCTAGATGTGGGGTTGACTTGCTGGCTGCTTGCAATTTAGTATTTTATACTAGAACTGAAGACATGCACGTTTAGACACCTGCAGGCCTGGTTCTCAATGAGTAAACCAAACGAAAACAAAGGGAAGAACTTTAATCAGATCATCAAACTATGCTAACCCTTTTAGGCTTTATTTAATGCACTGTGTGCTACTCAAACTTCCAGCAAAACCAGTGTCAATGTCTCATTCACTGTGCAGATGTAAATGCAGCAATGAACAAGACAGAGTGTTCCTTAGAGCTGAAATTCTAATACAGAGACAGACAATAAGCACGTATGTGAATACATATAAGCCTGCTGATTTTAAGACCATTAAGAAAAAATAAAGCAAGAGAAGGGGCTGATGGATAATAGAGAAAAATACTCTAAGGAGAGATCTGAATAAGCTAGGGCATTAGCTATGTATTTGTGAAATGTTCCATGTAGAAGAAACAGCAAATGTCCCATGACAGACACACCCCTGGTGTGCTTTCAAGAGCAAAGCGGCCTCTGTGGCTGGAGCACAGTATCCGTAGGTGATGCAGTCAGAGCTGTGGGAAACCAGACCATCTAACGGGGGCAATGACACAGACTTTGGCATTGACTCTAAGTAAGGTCAGGAGACAGCACTGAGCAAAAAGAGTGACATGTTTTCTTATTTTACCACTCCAGGGACTTTTGACGTAGAGTGCCTTACAACCGACCACTACACAGGTGGCATGAAGCAAAAGTACACTGTGAAGCAATGCAAGCGGCAGCCCGGGGATGCCACCCTGTACCTGGGAGAAAGGACCTACTACGTTGCAGCAGTGGAAGTGGAATGGGATTACTCACCAAGCAGGACGTGGGAAAAGGAGCTGCATCATTTACAAGAGCAAAAGTAATGTTCCAGACTCGATTTCCAATTCGTTCCGCTGTGATTTTGGGTGTCACTTTCAGAAAAGAATCAAGCTACCTCGTAGAAACAGAAAGAGCTGCGTGCAGCAATAGTAACGGCCACTTCCTAGAGCCCGTGCTCACCTATTTCTGCTCCTCTCTGCATCCTCACAGGATGCCTTTCCGATTCCAAGGCACGGTCGGTCTTACTCTTTCTGCTGGACTGTCTTCTCAGTCATGTGCGTTTACCTCGTCATGCTTCTTCTAACAACCAGATTCAGAGCTGAACTAGCATTTTACGTACCAACTATTGCCTGTTTATTTTTCCTCCCCAAATTTCATTTTTAGTGCAATAATCAGTCATTTCATATTCCCAAAACTGCTGCAGCTTTTTAAAAGGTTGGCAGTTCTCTAAGAACTGCAAGGAAAAAGGGATCAGAACCGCTAACAACACATACATTATGAAAAAGTAAAAGATTAACCTCAGTATGAGTAAACCTAAGTAAAGGGTGATTACTGGAGCTTTAGAAACACCCATTTCAAATCAGGTGACATCACCAGACACTTCTAGGTGGCTCTTTTGCATTTTTGAGGCACCTTCCCCTCTGTCACGCACTTCCGTCATGCACTGACCCTGCATGGGTATGATCTGAGGGTCTAGGACTAGGATAGTGGAGGGACAGGCAGATCCAGGGTGCCCAGTAGAACTGATCTGGCTGGCAGTGGCTAGCTGGTGTTTGATTTCAATGATGAGTGTGGTCTGAGGCATAAAAGACTAAAACATTGTTTTGCGATTAGAATAAATGGTTAAAAGGAACTATTAGTCAAATGAACTTCAGAAAAAGAGAATGACTGGAAAATGGACCATTTTGATTCCTATTAACTAGAAATACTGCATCAACTCTTCACTGATTGAATCTGGATTCATAACATTTCGAGTGGGAAGAAAAGAAATGATCTGATGAATAGCTCACTTTAGGGGCAGAGGCACTGAGGTCCAACAGGCAGTGAGGAACGAGAGGTCAGTTTAGCTAGTGGCAGGTCAGGCCCCGGGCTGCGGTGGCTCACTAAACTGGCCAGATGCTCTTTCTGTCACACCGGACTAGTGTTAAGCTCTTATTTTTCTTTCACTGGGATAGAAAATAATTTAAAACAACCACAAATACCTCAATAAAACTGCACTTTATTCAAACATTAAAAATTAATTTCTTTTTTTTCACGAAAACAAATACTAACGTAAGTTGATTTTCTTTTTCTAGTGTTTCGAATGTATTTTTAGACAAAGGGGAGTTTTACATAGGCTCAAAGTACAAGAAAGTTGTGTATCAGCAGTTTACCAACAGCATGTTCAGGGATCCAGTGAAGAGAAAAGCCGAAGAAGAACATCTGGGGATTCTAGGTGAGCCGGGCAGGGCCTTCCTAGCAGGGGTGGATGTGACAAGGTCAGTCGTCAGGGCTGGACAGGTCCATCCCAGCAGATGTGGATGACACACGATGTTTTGTATAGTATCAGTCATCCACGTCTATGGGTTGTGTTTTATCAGTTCATCAAAGTTATTAAAATAAAAACAAAAAAAATCATTTCATAAACAATGAGAAGTTTGTGTATACTAAAATCACAGATAATAAGATCTCATTTATTTCCGTCAGGAATAATGTTATCCCATAGACTGATGGAATTCTTTGTATTTGATGCTTGTAGTATTGGTGGGGAAATTACTCCCTAATAAAAGTCAAATTCTCCATGTTATTCCATCCCCACAAAAAGAAAGAAAAAGAAAGAGAATAGCTATTTACTATGTACTTTTAAAATTAAGACGTAAATGATCAATTATAAGAAAAACGTGTATGTGGATAAGATAAAGTGTTTCCTTACCCAAAACCTGGGAAGAACTGCCTTCAATTTTTCAGGACCCACAGTAAATTAGAATGCCTACCTTGAAAACCACGAGGTGCAGGGTTATTCCTGAAGTCCTCAATATTTCTTCACGATTGCAATCCCCTAGGACACTCGGGAGTAAATGGCATTGTAGAGGCCAACACCCGACAGGGACAGCTGAGGTTGGCTAGAGTGTAGAACAGACAGGGCCAGCTTCTTCCTTGCAAATACTACACTGTTCTAACTTCATGCTCAGCAGTCTGTAGATCCAAACACAGAGCCATGAGTATAAGTATTGCAAAACAGCTCCTGGCCTCTGACCAGCTCACCCTGGTTAGATCTCTGTCCCTCGGGAGACTTTCAGGCTAGAGCACCCTCCCTGGAACTCTGGATAAGAGATACACTATGGTCCATATTTGGAGAAGCCCTTCCTAGTGTTTTTATCTACATCCTCTGGGACCAGAAATAAATCCAGGACTACTGGAAGAGCACAGTCATGTGAGAAGAAGGAAACTCCATCCTTCATGCTGAGAAGTTACCTGATCTCTGCCTTTATGAGTAAGTGAGAAACTCCAATACACAAGACAAATAAGCCACTCTTCCTTTACACTCTCACCAGGTCCACAACTTCATGCCAACGTTGGAGACAAAGTCACAGTTGTTTTTAAAAATATGGCGAGCAGGCCCTACTCCATACATGCCCATGGAGTGAAAACGGAGAGCTCTACAGTTACTCCAACCCTGCCAGGTACTTGGGGTGGAGGGGTGTATCACACAGACTTTATAGCCTGCTCCTGTAGAGATGTTCCTTCTAAATGACTATGCTGTGAGAGAGAGAAAAGGCAGGCAGTGGGGAAGGGACGAAGGGACGTGGTCTGTGTGGATGCTTGGGTACAAGCACATGCACACCCAACAACTTACAGGAGAGCTGTAAGGAAGAAACCTGGAGGCACTAGGGGTCTATAAACATTCAAGGACAAGTTAGAGAATGTCACGTCCACCCAGCTAGAATGTACTTATGGTGACATCTGCCACACAGTGTAAGTCCGAGTGTCTGTATGCCAGTCTCTCCGACGATGTCTGCAGTTTGCAATCTGAAATCCTCTGAATTTGGATCAATGTCTGGCATGTCTTGGAGCTCAATGGATGTTTCTTTAATTAACATAAAAAGTAAAACAGATTATATACATTCAAATAGAAAATACATAGATGTATTTTCTTCAGTATGCATGGTATTTTTCTTCTATGCATTGTAAAATTAGTTTACAGGAAAAGAGGGGTTTTTAAAAAGGACTTTAAAAAAACTAAGCAGTTCTTAAATATATCAAACAAAAGAGTGCTTTGTAGAGTCTTAAAATTTTAGTGAAATATAAGTAAAAATTTCTGTTCTTCTAAGAGATAAATAATATTGAGCAATAAACCACGATATGAAAATGATTCGGCAAAGTAAGAGAAGAACAGGGGTGCTATTTTAGGGGAATCGGTCAGCAGGGCTAGACACTGGTGAAGATGTTAAATAACAAGGGGGTGGGATGCAGCTTTGGTAACCGCGAGGTAAGAGTCTAGGCCCTGGGATGGGCACACGCTGCTTCCTGTGTCTAAGAAACAATAAGGAGCCCAGAGATGAGAAGTGTGGACAATGAACACTGCGTTCACCATGTTAACAGATGGGGACAAGGGAGAGCAGGAGCTGGTGGAGCAGGATGGACCCAGGAGGCCATGGCCAGGACTTGGGATGTTATGCTAAACATCGTCATAAGAATTTGACCTAAGGAGCAATGATCTGGTTAGCACTTTTCAAGAGGCTCTTCTGGCTGATTCATGAGCAAGAGACTGTAGGGGAAAAAGGCAGCATCAAAATCACTAGGGAAATACTGCAGTAAACTTGGTGAAAAAAAGTGACTGGAACGAACAAGACTTGGCAGTGGGTAGAAGCAGCTGAAGCGGTAAGAAGCTATTATATTGCAATTCTATTTTAATGGTGGTGCTACAAGGATCTGTGAGAAGTTGGACCCGAGTCGGTGCATGGAGTCAAAGATGACTCTAAGGTTTTGGATATCGATCACTGGTGTCGCAGAGCAGGCTGGAAAGGCAGCTTCTAGAAATAAGACAGACTGACAGATTAGTAAGATGTTGAGGTGGTACATTTACTTTTTAAGTCCTAAGTAAAATTTTCTGCTCAGATAAGGGATGAGGACAGAGAAACAGCTAAGCGAGGGCTTCAGGAAAAAGCCCACCCCATCCCACGAGACCAGCCCTCATGTCTTGATGGAGTCCCTAGCAAAGGTTTTTTAGGCTCTAGCAAGTTGAAATCTGGCAGGATTATGTTTACATGAAACATCAAGGTCTATGCAAGTGGAGTGGACAGAGGGTAGTTAGGATTGGTAAGTGGGCATGGCAGGTCAAGGTCTATAAACACTGTACAAGAGGCGCTGAGATGACAGGAAAAGATCAGACTAGAAGAGCTAGGAGCACATGGGAAGAGGCCAAGGATCTTAGCAAGGTAGGACAGAACAACTGTGCATCTTCAAAGCATCAAGCACCAGGGTATGATTATTATATCCAGCACGTAACAGAATACTGACAAAGGGGAACATTGTGTGAAAGGATGGGATAAACCACAGAAGTAAACAATTGAAACAAGCCAGTGACCTGCAAGATCAAGAGGTCTCGTGGCTCCTTCTTGTAAATATTAGCTCACTGAGGATGATGGTAAGAAGGGAAAGTAGGTGAAGCTGAGGGGGTTCTACAGGACGGCATTGCCACACAGAAATGACCAAGGGCAAGGTGCTGGCCATGGAGACAGGGACAACCACTTGGCATCTGAAGGAAAAATGCCTATTAAGAAAATATACTTCAGGGGCCAGATAGTTCAGTGGTTAAGAGCACTGGCTGATCTTGCAGAGGACCCGGGTTTGGTTCCCAGCATCCACATGGCAGCTAACAATCGTCCATAACTGTAGTTCTTAAGAGATCCAACATCTTCTTCTGACCTCCACAGGCATTGCACAACACAGGTGTACTTACATACATGCAGGCAATACACTAACATATATAAAATAAAAATAATAAAATATAAAAATGGAAACATACTTCAGAATCAGAAAAAAAATTTGATGTGCAGTTTCTTCAAATGATGTTAGAATTGCCATCTCCTGTGGCTTTGTGCCATAACAAATGTATCATGGCTAAAAAGCCTTACAGTTTATCTTAAAATGAAATTCCTGGGGCTGGAGAGATGGCTCAGCGGTTAAGAACACTGGTTGTTCTTGCAGAAGATCCGGGTTCGAATCCCAGCACCCACACAGCAGCTAATAACCGTCCATACCTCAAGTTCCAGGGAATCCGATGACCTCTTCTGGCCTCCATGGGCATTGCACAACATGGGTGCTTTACCTACATGCAGGCAATATACTCATACACATAAAAGAAAAATAATAAATAAAATATAAGACAATTTAATTCCTAAGCCAGCCAGATGGCTCAGTGTATAAAGGTGCTTGCCACCAAGTCTGGTGATCCGAGAATCCTCGTGGTTGAATGAAAGAACCAACTCCCAGAGGTTGTCCTTTGACTTTCATATGTACACTGTGGGACGCACATATAAACATACACACACACACACACACACTCACACACACGTACACAAATGAATAAATAAATAAATAAATAAATATAAACTAAGTTCCTACAAAGAATTTTGAGTACTATTATTTTTGAAAGCCTACCTTTGACATTTCCAGTTTCTGGATCACTAGTTATCAAGGTTTAACACATACGTAATATGTAATATATATTAATGTTTTGTATGTGTGTATAGCATACATACATATGAGACAAACGTGTGTGTCTGTGTGTCAGATATAAACCAAATATAACCAGATATATAATTGATTTAGGTGAAACTCGCACTTACATATGGCAAATCCCAGAAAGATCCGGTGCTGGCACAGAAGACTCAGCTTGCATCCCATGGGCATACTACTCAACTGTGGACCAAGTTAAGGTAAACTTTAAACTGTGTTTTATGATAATTCCCAGATAAACACACAATTGAAAGAAGATGAAGTTAGAGTTTTCCTACACTCTGATCTATTTTTTAGAAAAATCTCAGGAAAATAAGGTGCTCTGCAATCTATTTCAGTTTAAATTTTTTGGCTTGCCTTTAAATACAGTTACCTCATTTCTTCTGATTATTGCAAAAACTTAATAAAAATTAAAAATCAATTTTTAACTTTTCTTTTGATATGAAAATATATTAAAATCAAAGAAGTGAGTTGTGTGGTTTCAGAGCTCTTTTTTACATGATTAAAAAAATGATCTCAGGAGCCATTCGGAACTGAAGATATTGTTAGATAAAATGTTTCAAAGCCCCATTCAGCAACCACCTCAGATGAGCAGGTACACTGTTTGGTAGAACTTGAATTAACTCTCTTCTGCATTCCTGTCCTGTTAGTACATCTGGCTACTGGGGACCTCCATCTGCAATTCCCACACTTAAAACTCAGATGAATTCATAGAAAGCAACAAAATGCATGGTATGGAAAAGGATTCCCAAACCACTCTCCTTTTATATTCTTTTCTTTTTTCAAACAAAAAAGAAATTTCTATTTCATTTCTACTCTCGCATTTCCCCTACTACACTGAGCTCCCATAGGAAAAAGGCTTTGTTTCATTCATTCATGGATTTATAGTGACTGGCACGCTCGGCTCACACTAATGCACTCATGAGCTTATGAAATAAACAGCCAACACTGTACATTCAGATTTCTTCTGCGCTCATTAGCTAAGCCAATGTTTGGCCTCTAAGTTCCACATCAGTCACATAGCTTACCTGCTGTTCACCACTGTTTCAACCGAAGTAAAAGTCAGGTACAAAGATACTAAACCGGTGACATCATTTTGGGCCAAGTGTGCTCCTTAAATTAGTCCCTACAAAATTACTGGTATGATGGATGATGTCCCAGTTCTCTGAAATCCTGACCTATATTTCAAGAATAACTGAAGTTTCCACTTGCTTTCAGGATCTCTACAGTGGATTAATTGGCCCACTGATTGTTTGTCGAAAACATCCCACGAAAGTATTCAATCCTAAAAGGAAACTGGAGTTTTCCCTTTTGTTTCTAGTATTTGATGAGAATGAATCTTGGTACTTAGATGACAACATCAAAACCTACTCTGATCACCCTGAGAAAGTAAACAAGGACAACGATGAATTCATAGAAAGCAACAAAATGCATGGTATGAGAAAGGATTCCCAAACCACTCTCCTTTTATATCCTTTTCTTTTTTCAAACAAAATCATGTTGTAGGCTACACTTCATTTAAAAGTATTCTACAGTAAAGCTCTGCTCAAAACAAAAAGGGGACTATGTTTAAAATAACTTACTCATTCCTCTCCCAATTCTAAATTCTCACTCCTTTTAAATAAATCCACAGTTGGGATTAATGCTCTTTTATCAATGTGACTAGAAAGGGTAAAGTGGTATTAGTGACCTTCAAAGGTCTATTTTCCCTATTGGTAGTAAAGTAAGTTCTACATATCAGAAGAATTCCTTGTATTACCCTTAATATTTCCTGGGAGGTGGTTATGGGTTTAAAATATTCTTAACGCTATCATATATTTCCCCAGCTATTAACGGAAGAATGTTTGGAAACCTCCAAGGCCTCACAATGCACGTAGGGGATGAAGTCAACTGGTATGTGATGGGGATGGGTAATGAAGTTGACTTGCACACGGTACACTTTCATGGCCACAGCTTTCGATATCAGGTAAGAGCCATCCACGGCAGCCATTCCTACTCTATTTAAATATGTTTCAGTACAAGCAAGGAGTAGGTTTCGCCAGACATTTATTTATGAGAAGGGAAAGTTTCACAGAGTGACGGTCACCACCGTTTCAACTGTTCTACTTTCTATTATTATTATTATTATTATTTTATTATTTTAATTTTTTTTTTGGTCTTTTTGAGACAGGGTCTCCCTGTAGCCCCAGCTGTCCTGGAACTCACTATGTAGACCAGCCTGGCCTTGAACTCACAGATATCTGCCTGCCTCTGCCTCCCAAGTGTTTTTTTATTATTTTTTTTCTTTTTTATTTTTATTTTACTATTTTTTTCTCCATCAAGAAAGCCTTATAAAGAGTGAAAACAAAGGTATTCAGCCATTCTGGTTTAGTCTGTCCTCTGGTCAGGTGGTCGTCCTCGGTGCGGAGGCTCATGGTGTTGATGATTCTCCTTGTTATTGCCTGCACTCTTCTCTGGTGGTCTCTCTCTCTCTCTCTCTCTCTCTCTCTCTCTCTCTCTCTGGTTGTCATCTTATCTCTCTCCTTGGTTGTCATATCTCTCACAGTGATGTGCATTCCTCCCAAAGTGCCAGGTTCCAGGTTAGCTCGGAACAAACAACGGTTAGCCGTGTGTACATGCTGATCTTTTTCTTTTTTTTTTTTTTTTTA